GTGTTTTAGAAAACACGGAAAATACAGTGTGTTTTCCTGTCCAAAAACACGGAAAGTGTACATTTTACGTATTTTTTACATATTTTTGCGTATGTTTCTGTGTTCAGCTTCCATGTTTTGCCGGAAATATTTTTCATAGGGTTAAAATCTGCATTATTTGCACGAAAGGCAAAAGGGACAGAATATCATAGTTATAATTCAATTGTTTTGTAACACTTCCTAGATGAGAGATAAAATCTTTGATTTTTTATTTATCCTGATTACATATTACATATTTGACATGTGTTATCACTAAAAAATTATAGCAAAAACCGTAAACACAAATTGATAATAATCATTAAAAAGGTAAATTTATGGCAATCAGCCAACTTTATGCTTTTTTTTTCATGACAGTTCTTTTCAGGATAATAACTGATAAAAGATGAATACAAGTACGTACGTAATTCGTATCCGAATTATCTAACATTCCCAAATTAGACCATTAAAGATTAGTTATACGTTATTTATCTGTTCCTGGTTTAGCGCGACTGCGTCGCGCAGCTACTTATTTACGTAATTGCATATGCTCAATTAACTACTAATCAAATGGGTTGGGTTATTAAACGAGTTAACCAGTACAACCCTATTCGATTAGATATCGCAGGGTATAAATCAGTTATAAACAGTGTCACGTGTTTATCTATGACCCCGGGATTTCGTAACTCCACCAGGAGTCTACGTATAAGTAACCCGTGACACAGTTTTCACTGATCGAATTGCGCATACGTTTCGTTTTTGACAAGATCTGATTGGTCGATTTATGTTATAGTTAAAGTCATCCGTTGTATGTAAAATTACGGTTCTGACATTTTTTTGTTGGTGCATGACGATGAAGGCCCGGTTTTTGAGTATTTTCGCTTTTTTGTGCTACTGCAAAACATTCTGGTGGGGTTGGGATTTCGTGGGACCGAGTTGCATGAGTAGTAGCGTGAGTAGCGTGATATGAATTTGTATGATGCATAAGATTTATTAAAGCCTAATTCTGTAGCGTAACCTAGATAATATATCTTATAATATAAATGGAAATAAATTTCTAAATTGTCACAATGTAATTTCGTTAAGGTGTCGTCAGAATAATTGTGGAATGGACTTTAATGATATTCCAGTTGAAAGCATTAGCCAAGCGAGTGCAAATTTGAAAGGGGATTGAACAAAGACCCCGTATACTGTTTAGCTCTGTGATAACAGGAGTTCTTATGTGTTTACCGGTAAACGGAATTTTATTTCTGTTTATTCTTATAACATCAGTGTGTAACTATTACATATATCGGTATAGGCAAAAATATTTTCTTAAATCACTAGTTATTGTAACGATTGGTTGTGAGAGCGACGCACAAGGAATGCGCAGTGTAGCTCCAACCGCTATTACTGTACAAGAGTTATGTGGATTGAATAATAAAGGTTTTCTATAGGGCAACTTAATGATGATGTGAAATTAAGGAGGGAATATCATTATCGTTATGTCTATGTTACTTTATTATGAGAACGAGGTTCTGTTTATTACATTTTTGATTAATATGAAAGAGAACACATTCTGGAACCTACTTTATGACATCAGAGGCACCACGCTATCGTGTTAGCCTCATGTCAATATGCACACTGCCTCCTTCGAGGGCTTTAACAATCACGATACTAATTTAGTTAGATAATCAATTACACCAAAAAGGGTAAGATTATAAAATTAAATCATTACGATTTATTAACGTACCGGTAAATTTTTCTGATGCGGTCATAATTACAATTTACTTGGCAAGTATTGTAATAGTTGAAAAATAGCTTTTGTTTCTTGGCAATTGATGCGTAAATACTGTCAATTTTACTCATCAATAATGCGATCTAGGAATAGGTAACTGCTGTAAATCCAGATATAATTACATCCGGATATGTCAGATATCGATATATAATTATCCGGATTAAATATACCGGATATAAAATATATATCCAGATTAATCCGGATTATATTTTTTTAACAAAATTAGATCCGGATTTAACTCTCCAGTATGCTGTAATATAATATTATATTGTTGTTAAAATACGTATAAGCAAAGTTATCATTATGAAAAATACCTGCTTTTTAATAAATTTATTGTTGATTATTTTAACATTAAAAAATCAATCAAGGATGGTTTATTCTTATAGAGAACCTTTGGCAGAATTATGGGGTGTAAATGAGGCAGAACTACCCGAGTTATTAACTATTGAGAAGAATTTATCTATAGTAGATGAAATTATAAAACCGTTACTGGACGACTCAAGCTTTGGTGGAACTTACGTGGATGTGATATTGAACAAACTAATAATCTATACAGTACACTTCCCTAAAGCAAATCTTTAAGATTATTACCTGTTGTAAAGCCATACTCAGAATTTTTGTTATTTAGAAAGGTATCAAATTCCACAACTAACTTAACTGCCAAATTAAATCAAATATTAGAATTAGCTCATGAGCATGAAGCACAAGACGTATATATTTTTAAGCATTTAACACGTAATAATATTGTTATAATGTTACATGTCAAAAATCGAGACGAAACCAGAAGTTTTTAGAAGCAGTTGAGCCATTACGGGCGATTATAGTTTTTACAAGAATACCTAAACAACTAGATCTGAAATTTCAAAAAAGATATATAAATCCTATTATATTACTTGGAGAAAAATATTTAGTGGATCTAATAGTTTTACATTTGGTTTTTTTGCAAAAAATATAACAAACCCAAATTTAATTTACAGTACATGGTAACTGCAGGACATTATGCTTCTTTGGGCAGTAACATTTTTTATGATGGAAGGGTAATTGGGAAAGTAGATTCATGTAACACTTACCCATTCGAATATAGCTTAATCAGAATAACAGATGATAAAATCAAACCAACAGCAATTATAAAGAATATAGATTCAACTATATATAATGAGTTATTTATCAAAGATATTATAGCTCCATCTAGTTATGGCGTTCATTCATGCAAATCTGGCCTTGAATCTATCGATCGAAATTTTCGAGTACCGAAATAAGCTTTCATTCACTGAGTTTTTAATTCGGCCATTCATCGAATATATCTGTTAAATTTAACTATGTTTTAATAACGTAATAGTGATAAAAATCGACTGTGTTTTGATACGTAGTAATAAATCTTTTGATTTAAATACAATTTTAAATAAATTGATCGAATAAATATATTGATTTGATAAATCTTTCAAAACAACATTAATTAAAACATGGAATTTGATTTGATATCGGATGGAGATACTGCATCTTCCGCTAATGTTCCTGTTGAGTTCCCTTTTGATAATGAAGAAAACGAGTCTAATTGTATTAATACTTCGGCTTGTGAACCTAAGTTCAATATAGAAGAGGCTGTCATCGATAGATCTAAAAAAACAAACATTAGAAATTCGTGGTGGATCTAAAAAACGATCCTGGGTTTGGCAGAATTTCGATTCGATCATATTAACTAATAAAGATGGTCAAGAAACCCAATATGGTGAATGTCACATTATGAATGATGATAACATACAATGTGCTCAAAGAATCAAAGTTATGGGTGGATCAACTTTGAACCTTATTTATCATCTTTCTTCAAAACAAATATATTCATATAAATGAATAAAATTTGTCAGTTTAGTGAAATGCTGATTATGGGTAGTAAGCTTAAGATATATGCACGAATTGGCTTGAAATACAAAAATGTTAACGAATATTTGATGATGTTTCAATACGCAGCTAATTAAAATCATCACAAGGTTTGAGAAACTTGTAGGGAAACTTCTTGTCGAGGAAATTTCCTATCGAGGAAACTTCCCGTCGGGGAAAGAAATGTCGGCGATATATCATATCAGAAAAAGGTTCTTTTGAAAATATGTCATGTTGCAAAAAATGTCTTGCAGTGATATGTCTTGCGGGAAAAGAGAATATCGAAGACATGTAATGTCAAAGATATGCCTGGTTAAGAGAATGTGATGTAGGTAAAATATCTTGTCGGGAATATGGCATCTGAGAAAATAAGATGGCGGGGAATAACTTTCGGGAATTGTCATGTAATCGTATACACTATTAGGTTAAATTTTTTTAAGTATATTCGATATATTTATAAAAACTAGTAACAGTTAATATCAATGGAGTAGTAAAGGCATGGACTAGAGAAGGTGAAATTATTCTCAATAGAGTACAAAAATATCAACCTTGATAATATCATTCCAGATAAAATGTATTTTGTTCCATCAGGATTTTCTCTCATTTTCAATTTTTTTTTTTTCTAAATCATTAACCATTTGTCGATTGGTTTAAATTTTGATTCAATGTTTTTTAGCCATTTATTTTTTGACGAAGAAGTTTAGATGGCTTGGAAGAAAGGTACTTGCCTGTATAATAAACTATACATTATTTATGCAATATCAAAATTTAAATAACACTCGTACGTACGTACGTACGTACGTCAAAATCAGGCATTAATTCTAGTTGTGATTTATGCATATTGAAACGGGATGTGCTCCCAGAAATAGCAATTAATATTAAAATTGCTTTTCGGACTATCCTAAAACTTTAAGATATCCTAAATTTCTGCAATATGATGAATTTATTAAAATTTAAATCTTCAAATAACGAATATAATAAACCTACTATATTATTTGTTAATTTTCGGACGTGATTAAAGGAAAGCAACTATTGTTACGAAATTTTTCGTAATAGATTTTATTATTGCATTTTTTACTTTCATTAGTAATAGCGATTACTATGTAATTACATAATTACTTTCTTACTGATTGAGGAGTTAGTAGAACTATATAAAGAGTCATTGATTGATAGTTCTCTTTTTGGGAAATTTCACTTTTGTTCTGTGTTCTTGTATTATACCTTTGATTAATCTGATCATATAATCAATATACGTAATAAATTGCTCTCCCATTATAAAAATTACATTCTTTTCGTTACTATTGAATACATTAATTATTACGGCCCAAGAGCTAAATTGGCACCTAAGTACTTAAGTCTTTCCCTTGATATTTTCGGATCAGTTCTAAAATTGTCTGCCTAAAAGTCCTAAAACCCGAAAATGCCCCTTGCCACACTTAATTAATATTGTGCCGGAGATCATCGTAAGCGTTGAGTTTGTTAAGGGGTGCGAGTTGAGATCTGCTAGAACGATCGTAGGTGTGGGATTTTAAAGGGACCCTGAATATATACAAAAAACCTTTGTCATACACAACCTAAATTTTTTGAAAAGTCTGTCGTATTAAAGTTACATATTTCTTTTTTTATTAGCAAATTTGTTCGACCTTCGACGTACAGTACACTTATTTAATACAATCAAAAAAAAGAATGGTGTATACTTATTACACAGAGTTTATATATCGTACAGTACATATAAAGAATGGGTGCTATTAGGCATCTCCCGCGGGAGACGTATCTCTCGTATCCGTTAGCCAATAGCGAGCCACAATATATTGTAACGTAACACGATCCGAAACTTTCAAAACAAACGTTAGTTTGAAGAAAAAAGCCTATTTATCAAAGAAACCTCCTTTCATGCTAACAAAAACTTTTCTTTGGGGCAAATTTATATATATATATATTTTTTATTTCTAGCCCTAAACTAAGCGCTATCCTAACATAAATAAACTTTAAGGAATTTTGGGAGATATATATCTCGCGGGAGACCTATAATTTCCCATAATGAATATCGAACGTAAAATACAAGCACGGTCGGACTAAAATTTTGAGAAAACGTCCGAAATTTACGAAAAGCAAATTTGAACTAGAAATTTGATCTAAACTTATATCGTACATAAAATATATAGTTTTATGGGTTATGTACACTTCAATAATAAAATTTATTTGTACCTTATATGTTTAAAGAAGCAGGGGGGACTTTCTCATTTTTCGAAAAAGCACGGGATTTTTCATGCCGCAGTCAACCAATCAGAAACCTCGAGGTGAGACCGTCCCAAATATGGAAATGATTA